GATTATTGAACTACTTGGAGAAAAAAAAAAAACAAACCAATTGGTATGTAACAAAATGAGCAAAATTAAGCCTCTACAGATTATAAACTTTTAATCCATCAATATTTCCAGTTTAAAGTAGGGTGTTCTATTCACGTGTATGCATTTGTGTATTCGATTAGATAACACAAATAAATACAAATTCGAAACAAAACTATCACATACGCAGACTCAAGCACAATCACACGCACCACAGAGACACATACATACATACATACATACATACATACATACATACATACATACATACATACATACATACATACATACATACATACATACATACATACATACATACATACATACATACATACATACATACATACATACATACATACATACATACATACATACATACATATATACATACATATATACATATTGGTATATTCTATCCCCCTGGACAATCACATAATGGTATATAAAGTAGAAAGTGAATCTAAATTCAACGTCATTAACAGTTTGTATTTTGCATTGTCACCCAAAGTGTGTGTGTGTGTGTGTATGAATGAGAGATTTAGATTTTTAACGTAGCTTTAACAATATTTCAGTCATATCGCTACGATGTCTGCATTGTGACAGTTTATAGTGATGTCTAGTACTGGGGCATCACCCAAAGGGAACTGAGCATGTCTTTATACTGACCATAAATCCCATTGTCAAACAACTTTGTTAGTCTTTGAAACTTTGACCTCATTCACTTCGTCTGAGATTACATTGTAGGACAATAGTCTAATTAACACGATAATTTTAAATCTTAATTTAGTAATGTTTAAAAAATAACAGCGATTCGAAGTAAACCATCATTTTAAATAGTTGACTATAACATTTTAGACAAACTTGCTATCAACCTCGACACGCTACACTTTTGATATTAGCACATGATCTTTGTGCAGATGTTCATCTATTGGTGTATATACATTTAATATGTATTTAAAACTACGATCCCAATAATTTATTATGGCTTCTAATTCTACATCTTTCTAGAACAGCAAAATTCATCAGTTGTCATGGAAAACAACGATGCATCCATAGCAGTAGAAATAAGCGACTTGGCATGCTGTTTGATGACATGATCTACATGTTCCGTTGTAAGCCGAATGATGTGCCATTGCACTAAAGTCATATTTGTTTATACAGGTTGCATAGTGTGTTCATATCATGAGTTTGGCAGTTTTAATTAATGACGATTTGTCCGGAAGAAAAAAAAAAAAAAAAAACATTCACTGCAGGCCAGAAAACAGTCACGTGATTTACGCCCGAGTGTTCTTTGGCTGAATCAGCGCGACCGTATTAAACATTGATCTTGGCACTTAGAATGATTAGTGTTTCAACAAAATATGTGGCTGAAAAATGATTCTGGCGCTAATTGAATATATTGAAAGGCCTCCGATTATAATAGGACTTGATTTATACGTCCGATCAATTAAACGAATAACTTAAACTGGTCGAGCTTCGTGACGTTAGGAATATAAGAGATGGTAAACATTTATGAAACATCTGATAGGTTGATATTTTCAGCTCTGCTAATGTTTGAGATACTCAGTTACTCGACACTTGTGGTTTATTGCCTTCAGTTATGGAAGTTTAATTTGCTATTGCAAGACATTGTTCTATGACTATGTCGATGCAAATATTGTGTATTTGTTATGTATCTTATACAATTATTTAACATTTGACAACCAATAAAACATGTCCTATCTTAAAATTGTTGGTTTGTTAGGTTTCCTCGCCACCAGATAATTTAAGTGAAACGTAAAAGCAAATAGATTTTTGGAACGAATTGTCTTTGAATGTTCAGTGTCATTGTCGGAATCAATTTCGTTATGATGACACTTTTTATATATGAAGCATGCCCCTTGTCTAATTTTTACTCACCATATTTTGCGTGAAAAGCAAACGTTTCAACATGCAAAAATAAAAATCAGATATTGTTCATAATAAAATCAGTAGTAGTAATAATAGTTGTGGTAATATTAGTAGTAGTAATAGTAGTAATAGTAGTAGTGATATTAGTAGTAATAGTAATAGTAGAAGCAATAGTAGTAATAGTAGTTATAATAGTAGTGATGGTAGTAGTAATAGCAAATAGTAGTAGTAGTAATAGTAGTAATAGTAGTAGTAATGCAAATAGTAGTAGTAGTAGTAATAGTAGTGATAGTAGTAGTAATAGTAGTGATGGTAGTAGTAATAGCAAATAGTAGTAGTAGTAATAGTAGTAATAGTAGTAGTAATGCAAATAGTAGTAGTAGTAGTAGTAATAGTAGTGATGGTAGTAGTAATAGTAGTGATGGTAGTAGTAATAGCAAATAGTAGTAGTAGTAATAGTAGTAATAGTAGTAGTAATGCAAATAGTAGTAGTAGTAGTAATAGTAGTGATGGTAGTAGTAATAGTAGTGATGGTAGTAGTAATAGCAAATAGTAGTAGTAGTAATAGTAGTAATAGTAGTAGGAATAGCAAATAGTAGTAGTAGTAATAGTAGTAATAGTAGTAGTGATATTAGTAGCAATAGCAGATAGTAGTAGTAGTAATAGTAGTGGTAGTAGTAGTAATAGTTGTAGTAATAACAAATAGTAGTAGTAGTAGTAATAGTAGTGATAGTAGTAGTAATAGTAGTAGTAATAGCAAATAGTAGTAGTAGTAATAGTAGTAATAGTAGTAGTGATATTAGTAGTAATAGTAGTAGTAATAGCAAATAGTAGTAGTAGTAACAGTAGTAATAGTAGTAGTGATATTAGTAGTAATAGCAGATAGTAGTAGTAGTAATAGTAGTGGTAGTAGTAGTAATAGTTGTAGTAATAACAAATAGTAGTAGTAGTAGTAATAGTAGTGATAGTAGTAGTAATAGTAGTAGTAATAGCAAATAGTAGTAGTAGTAATAGTAGTAGTGATATTAGTAGTAATAGCAAATAGTAGTAGTAGTAATAGTAGTGGTAGTAGTAGTAATAGTTGTAGTAATAGCAAATAGTAGTAGTAGTAATAGTAGTAATAGTGGTAGTGATATTAGTAGTAATAGCAAATAGTAGTAGTAGTAATAGTAGTGGTAGTAGTAGTATTAGTTGTAGTAATAGCAAATAGTAGTAGTAGTAATAGTAGTAATAGTAGTAGTGATATTAGTAGTAATAGCAAATAGTAGTAGTAGTAATAGTAGTGATAGTAGTAGTAATAGTTGTAGTAATAGTAGTAGTGATAGTAGTAATATTATTGGTAATAGTAGTACCAATAGCAATTGTAATAGTAGTAATATCAGTAGTTGTAATAGTAGCAGTAATATAAAAAATAGTAGTAGTAATAGTAGTAGTAGTGATAGAAGTAATAGTAACATTTGTATTGATAGTAGTAGTAATAGTAGTAGTAGTAATATTATTGGTAATAGTAGTAGCAATAGCAATTGTAATGGTAGTAGTATCAGTAGTTGTAATAGTAGCAGTAATATAAATAATAGTAGTAGTAATGGTAGTAATTATAGTATTAGTGATAATAGTAGTAATAGTAGCCACAATAGTACCAGTAATATTAGTAGTAGCAGCAATACTAACCGTAATATCCGTAATAATATCAGCCATAGTAGTAGTAATAGTAGTAGTGACAGTAGAAGTATAGCAGTCGTAATAGTAGTAATACTAGTAGTAGTAATAACAGTAATAATAATAGTCGTAATAGAAGTAATAGTAGTAGTAATGGCAGTAATAATAGTCGTAATAATAGTAATACTAGAAGTAGTAATAACAGTAATAATAATAATAATAGTCGTAATAATAGTAATACTAGAAGTAGTAATAACACTAATAATAATAGTCGTAATAATAGTCATAATATTAGTAATAGTAGTAGTAATAGCAGTAATAATAAAAGTCGTAATAGTAGTAATAGTAGTAGTAATGGCAGTAATAATAGTCGTAATAATAGTAATACTAGAAGTAGTAATAACAGTAATAATAATAATAGTCGTAATAATAGTAATGATAGTTGTTAGTAGTAATAATAGTCGTAACAGAGGTAATATTGGTATTAGTAATAGTTGTCGTAATACTCGTAGTAACAGTGGTCGTAATAGTAGTAATAATTGTAGTAAAAATATAGTAGTAGCAATAGGAATTGTTACAGTTGTAACAATAGTATTCGTAATAGTAGTAGTAATAGTTTTAGTTATAGTTGTCGTAATACAAGTAGTAATAGAAGTCATGATAGTAGAAGTAATAGCAGTCGTAATTGCAGTAGTAATAACAATTGTAGTAACAGTAGTCGTATCTGTAGCAGTTATAATAACATTAATAGTATTAGTAATAGTAGTCGTACTAGTAGTAGTATTAACGCTCTTGTTAAGTAACCAAACTTGAAGTGTATGGGTTGGGTGGGGTCTCATAAATCCCGTATGTGTAGCAACTGTCATGTGACCATCTACATGAATTTGCATGGATTTAATAAGCTTTACAACATAGTAATAAACTTATACTTACACAAAATATAACACTTTAGAAAGATATTTTTAAAACAAATGTATTTCATAATATCATTAACTTAAATACTGGACATGCGCACAAGGTGGTCGGAATATATTCTAAATATAGCGACGTATACAAGACCAGAATCGTAAACGGTTATTGAAAATATTCGTGCGTCCAAACATCAGGGGATTTGTTGGATCGCCATACAGATCAATTGCGCTATGCAGGTGTGTGTGTGTGTGTGTGTGTGTGTTGTGTTGTGTTGTGTTGTGTGTGTGTATGTGTGTTATTTGGATCTTTAACGTAGCTTTAATAATTGTGCAGTCATATCGCTACGATATCTGCATTGTGGCAGTTTATAGCGATTTCTAGCACTGGGGCATCATGCCGCAGACATGCAGCATCATGTACCACTGATTCGCAATATCCTGAGACTAGGCTGACCAGTCCTAACACTAACATGTTAATGCGTACTGAGCAGCTGGTAGTACCATTTTTAAAAGTCTTTGGTATGACTCAGTAGGGTTCGAACCCAAGACTTCCGCATCCAAGGCGGACGCCCTAACCACCAGGCTACCGGAGCGTTTTGCAGGTAACGAGGCATTGAGATTTCTTTTACCGCTCTCAGTTAACGCCTTATACGTATTTGACTTGACCCGATTCTGAGTGTTGTGCGATTTTATTCCATACCTGAACTACGTGACCGTACGCGGTGGACCTTACGCGAGAAACCCCAATGGGCGTAACGGCTTTCTAGATCAACTGCTGCTTCCATAACGGATCTGCCATAAGCTTTCATACGTATACTTGTGTTGCAGAACAGATTAATCTGCGGAATATTTAACTCTGCGTGCTTATAGTTCTCAAAGAGGAATCGATATTTGTTTCAGATTGCATTCTCAGTAACTAAACATAGCCACCACCTTGATTGTTTCTTTTTGTTTGAGAACATACTAAACAATCACGGCGAGTAATATATGATGTCAAAGTACTGACTTGGATAGTATTTGGAAAGAATTCACGAGTGTAGCTAAAACGAGAACGAGTGTAGCTAAAAGGAGAATTAAATATCTCGACGAATGGTGTATTTGTGCAGTCAAAGATGGCAGTTTATCCTATATGCTTCGAATAGACTCATGGATAATGTTTCAAATACGTAACATATAATCAGGTTAGGAATGGCGTTGTAGCCAACACGACGGAAACTCGATGCATAATATGGTGGAAAAAGAACCAAAAATAAAAGAACAAAATAAAACAAACCATAAAAGTCATTGTATGTTCATCATCATCATCATCATCATCATCATCATCGTCGTCGTCGTCGTCATCATCGTCATCATCATCATCGTCGTCGCCATCATCATCATCATCATCATCATCATCATCATCATCATCATCATCAATCTCTTACCCAAAGAAGCCGTTGGGGTAAAAAAGTTGACTTTACAACCAATTCTCTTCATCTTTCCCTGTTCTCTACTGGCCTTTGGGAATCTCCAAATCTCATGCATGTCTACGTTTTAATGTTGTCTCCCCACTTCTTTTTCTGTCTGCCACTTCTGTACCATCGCAATGTGCTTTGCAAGATTATTTTCACAAGTCCAGACAATCTTGAGACATGACCGTACCACTTAAGTTTGCGCTTCTAACAGTGGTCAAGAGGTCTTCATAGGATCCAATGGCTCGTTGGATCCTTTTATGGACTTCTTCATTGGCTACATGGTCAATGGATAAGACACTCATGATCTTGCGGTAGCATCTCATTTCGAAGGTTTGAATCCCTCTTTGTAGATCTGATGTGAGCATCCATGTTTCTCAAGCAAACATAAGGATGGATGTCAATCGAGTACATGAGCCTTTTTTTGGAATCAAAAGCAATGTTGGTATCTTTCCATATTGGTCTCAACCGTGTTATTGCTGATGTTATTACGGGCAATCCTGCAAGGTAGTTCTGGTTTCGAGCCCCTATATGTGATAATTGATCCCAAGTACTTGAAGCTTGTAACTTTCTGAGCTTCTGACCATTGACTTTTATCTCTTTACTGATGCCACTGATATTGCCTGTTATCAATTTGATTTTTCAGCACTAATCTCCACACCGTATGCGCTCAACCAAGTCACCCAATTCGTTTTCATTTCCTGCTAAACCATCAATATCATCTGCGAAGCCTAGGTTGGTGATTGTTTTTCCTTCGATGCCGACAGTGCCCTTGTGGCAAGGCATTCTTCATGACTCTTTCTTTCCAGAAAATGTTGAAGAGTGTAGGTGATAGTATACATCCCTGTCTGATTCCAATTTTTGTTCGAAACCTATCTCCTCTGCTGCCATTGATGAGTACTTAAGCTGATGCTGTACTTCCTCATAATTGCCCATAAGGCTGCATGCCATACCCTGTCAAAGGTCTTTGTGAAATCTATAAAGACTTGGTATATATTATGCTGATGATGAAGGCATTTCTCGTAAAGGAGTCTGAGACTGAAAAGTTGTTATGTGGTGTTCCTTCCTGTTTGGAAGCCTGCCTGTTCTTAGCAATAATTTTCGCTATTTCAGGCTTTAGTCTGTTGAGAATTATCTTCAGTATGAATTTGCTCGAGTGACTGATCAAAAAGATTGTTCTGTAGTTTGGCATAGCAGAAGGTTTTCTTTCGTAGGGAGAACCGAAGATTGAGTCCATGTGGTGGGCTATTTTCCTGTCTGCCATAATTTTGTTTCAGATATGTTGTTAGGACTGTCTGCTTGAATGAGCTCTGCTGTTATGTTGTCAATGTCGGCTGACTTTCCTTTTTTAGTGACTAAACTGCAATTTCTAATTCTTCACGAAATTGCGGTTTGTCATAAATTTCTTCTGCCTGAGGGCAATTTTAGTACTGCTGGGATCTCCTTGGGTCTTATAATTGTACAATTCTGAGCAGTATTAGGCCAATCGCTTGAAGATCTCCTGATCTTTTGTGATGTATTTTTCTGATTTGTATTGGAATGTGGTAGTTTTCCCGTGGTTTATGGGTTGGGAGATCTTTCACAGTTGATATGCCATTTTGCTGTACTTTACTCAAAATGTCTTCGATTTTTTAGGAAGGTGTTTGTTTCTATCCAAGATTTCCGTTGCCTTTTTCACGCTTTTCCTGATAATGTTGTTTATCCTTCTGATACTTTCTAACCGATAAGATCTCTTTCCCCCTTTTTTCAATTCTCTTCTTTGTCGCATAATTTCAAGGACATCTGTTATGATTTAATTAATTCTTTGTTCACAGTGTATTTTATACGTTTTAAAACAAGTTTATAAACCATTCTGTACATGTATTTTATGTAAAGGATGAAACTGGTATCTGGATACTGTTAGAAAGGAAGTTTAATTAAGAGAAAGCAGTCCCTGCTACGTTTTCACTTTAAACGATATAATTATTGTTACACGATTGTCAAATAGTATATATATCTATAGATATAATATATATATATATTATATATATATATATATTTATAGATTTATATATTATATATATATATCTATATAATATACATATAATATATACAATATATATATATTTATATATATATATATATATATATATATATATAATTTATATATATATATATATATATAAAATCAGATGCATAACTGACGACGAAACAGTACGGAAAAGTAAATAACAGCTACTAGTAGTTACGAGTTTCGTATGGTCATGTCAGTTTAATTGCATATATATTAAATTCTATATATATATATATATATATATATATATATATATATATATATTCTATTTATATATATATTTAGATATATATATATATAATATATGATGGTATTACTTCATCACATGCCAGAATGGTATGCTGAGGCCTAATAGTGGACAATTATTGAAACTACTTAACTATATGTCACTGCGATCTGTTTTTCCGTGATTGACCATCATTTGCGTTCGAAAAAATATTGTATGCATATTTTTTTTTTTAATTAGAAACCTTATTAAACCATTATACGTGATTTGTCTTTATCAAAATGACATCTGTGAAAAACAATAGTTCTGTGACCTTTTTCTATATTTACTGTCATTTTGTACCGTAAAAGAATTTTTGTTCCTATATAATGAATTAAATTTTCATGTTATAACTTTCAACTGGGTGCATCTTTTGCAGTTCACGTTGCTATTGTAAATCTCATCGTCAATCTTTTGATTGACATTGTCAACGAATGTATTTCGGATTGATTCTTTAATTGATCTTGTCAACGATATTAATTAGGATCGATATCTTTAACTGACGTCTTGGACAACATTAAAACAGTTAATTTGTATTACTAAAATGTAGGTCGTGTGACTCCACTTTTAACTATTAGAATACATTCAATTTTAGATACCAATTTCACCCATTGATTTATACTAAGTCCTATGTTAACGCATGGTGACAACGAGGTATCTTATGGTTGCTTGTATTTCAGTCGAATATATTTTTATTCTTATTTTTCGATATTTTAGTCAGATGGACTTTCAGTTGGAAACATGCGTTGAAAATTCTTTTAAAAGGTCCTAAAACAATTGCGGAACAGTCAGTTTAAATTTGAAAGGTTCTTGTTGCGTTGGTATTCTGGAAACAGTTCAAACATATTTCAAGCATGGATTTATCAATTTGTTAATAAGAGTTGATTAAATTAACCGCTTGTTATTCAGTGACAAACCCATGAGATAGATGTGATGTTAATGAAGAAACAGCATCAGTAAAAACGTCAGGCTAAATATGCAAGGGAACACTTCCATAATGTAGAAAAGATAATTTGGCTAATATTATATAAATTCTGCAATGTCTGCACCGGGTATATTTGTGTTTATTACTGCGTTGCTTAAATTAGTTTCATTGTTGAATTCTAAATGTATATTATTCATTCAGACAATGGAAATGGTTTGCCAAACTCAAAGTTCTGCTTCTTTTTTCAAACTGATCACATATAGTTAGATATCAATGGGCTTGCCTCCCACGCCAAGATTTAATGCCTCCGATATTGAAGAGTTTTAACTGTGCAACGAAGCACTCCAAAAATGAATAATTCAACAGAAGTATTCGATAATGCAATCGGCAAGCAAAAACACATTAGCACACTTTTCGCAAAGATTTTGCTTATTTACAATTACTTCAAAAGATATAATTATATTGACTTCCGTAAACTATGAAAATTATCACGTTTATGGGGCCAACGATGTTTGGAAATTATTTGTTGCTCTTAACATTAAGACGTGAACTCAGAGATGGCTGGCGTAGGAATAATATTCAGAATTAGATGTGAATCGCCAGACATAGAGCAGGAGTGCTTATTGTAGCGATATGGGTACAGGGTATGAATTGATACATTCTTTGGTTTTATTCATATATACGCTCAATATCAACGTAAAAAACGTAACTTGATGAATCGTAAGGCGTCTAGTACATATTATTTAGCAGGATAAAAGTTGTCGCTTGACAAAATACAATCATTTATTTCTTTAACTTTATGAGCTTTATAAACAAGCAAACTGACAGGTAAGATGATTATTTCATGAAAAGTATCGATTATTCAGAATTCTTTAATAAAACTATAGTTTTAACAATGT